AAATGGAGAGAGTATTGGTTTTTGAAAATGGAAAAGGATAAAAAACATATAAAATTAAAAGACATATAAAAAAAAGTTGGTTTAACTCTCAAACATAAAAAGTAACATATGTTATTAAAAACTTTAATAAAAAGTACTATAATTTACAATAAATAATAACTTAAAATATCTACAAGACAACAAAAAAAACACTAATTTTTGTACTGCTTGTGTCACATAAATTAGGATTGAGATGATTTTAAAATTTTAATTTTGGTTATACATTATAAAATAGCCGAAAAATTGAATGATATAATTTTTTTTAAAATAACCGAATGAATCGTCCTATCGATAACCCTAATGTTACTTCTACTCTGTTTATTTTTACTTAAATTTAGAAAGATATTCTTCATTTCTACCCTCAATCTTATCGCTACATTTATTTGCTATTTAAAATTGAAATTAAAAAGACAAATGACAAATAAGTTTCTATATTAGCTCACTTATGAGCAACATATATTATAACAATCTTTACTAATTTTATAACAATACATAAACTATATTCCCTCCGTCCCATATTAGATGGGCACTTTCAACTTTACACGGTGATTAAGAAATCATTAATACATTGGAAGACTTCACCATTTTGCCCTTTGTTTATATCAATGCACATTGAAATGAGTTACAAAAAATACACATACAATATAGGAATGGTCATATTAATTGTAGGGGTAAAATGGAAAAGATTAATTAATTCTATCCTAATTTAATAAGTGCTCAAATAATATGAAAAAAATATTTTTAGTAAGATTCTCATCTAATATGGGACAGAGAGAGCAACAATATAACTTTATTAATGTTGGGCCCGGGTAGCGCCCGGGCTTTCTTTTCTAGTATATATATATATATGTGAAAAATAATAAAACTTCGATAACTATAAGATTTGAATTCATAAATAGACAAGTAAGGCTTGCTCAAGATTAACCAGGGTACATGATAAAACTATTGATTCTCCTAAAGTAGAAAGAAAGAAAAAACATAAGTTAAGAAATATGATGAAATTTAATGTTGAAAACTTTAAATATCGAACTAATCAAATTAAAATCTTAGATTCATTTTTTTTATGATTAATAAGAATATTTATTTACATCCTTATAGAAATTACATTCATGACATGTTTAAAATCACAAAACTTAAATGGTAATATTTTTTGTATGATCATTAATTTAAGATCACTATATTCAAAATATTACGTCGCACTCTTAGGATATATATACATAAAATAAAAGGGAATACAGACAATATCACTAGTTTTTGTCCTTCAACATATGATTTCCTTTTTCTTTCTTTTTTGTTGGTGAAGGGGTGGTGGTAGGTGAATATTTTCATTTTATGTTTGATATTAGTAGATATTTTTTTCGTTTTCATAACTTGAACCTAAAATTTCTTAAGTTATTAAAAATATCTTGATGACGTTGCGTTCGAAGATCTTGTAGCCCATTAGCTAAATTAAAAGTCAATTAAATTAAGTTGAATCTTCGGCGCTCTCATTAACTTCCCTAATGGCCAAATAGACAGATAGTTTGCACCAATGAATTGGTATCAAAATATTAGTAGTTTAATTATGACTAATCAGACTTTTGTATTTCTTATTAAGATATTATCTTGGTGTATGTACTAAATGGTCCCCTCCTCATAAAGGAGACACAAAATCTCAGGCGCAGATAACAAAATTTTCGATTATAAGTTATTAAAATTCGAATATATACTTTGATAAATACTATTTACCCTTTTGATGGATATATGCATATGCTTCCTTTCACGGAAAATAGATAAATCCAATCAAATTAATAATCACAAAAACTACAAAAAATTGTGATGTAAATAATTCTTCTTTAGTCTCTAAATATATTCATGCCAACCAAGCACTAAATAAAATTATGCATGAATTGTTTTGTTTTACGATCAATTGTACACTGCATAAGTTATGAACTAGAATTCTTTTTTTCTAATCTTTCTAGCCAAGCATAGGATTATATATTGTGTGAATGTTTTATTAAGGGTGTCAATAATTTAAGAAAAAATCAATTCAACCGGCCAAATCAATTTTAAGTTTTTTTTAAAAAAATAAAATTGAAGGTTTTGATATGCAATATAAATATAGAGAGAGAGAACATACCAAAAATTGAGGAAATTATTCTCTCACTCAAAAAGGTTCAAAAATTTCTAAATAAAATATATGTCCAACCAGATGTTGAAATTTTCAAAAATATAAAATTAGAAACTAATATTTCAAATTCAAATACACGGCCAACTGGTAGCTTAGAGTGTGTTTTCTGGTCAAAATTTATGAAAAATATCTTCTTCTTTTTTTAAAAAAAAGCTCCTTGAAAATAATAATTAATAAAATTAGAAAAAATAAGTCGATCACATTGTGTCGTACCTACCCTCCACCTCCACCTGCCCTCGTCTCACTTTCAAATGAAGGAATAAATTGAATGAAATTGAATTTATCTATCATTATTAAATAAATGAAATCATTAATGACATGGTAGATTAAAGACGGAACAAAGAATCAACATTTTAAAACCCCATCACCACATATCATATACAAGAAAATAATTTTTTTTTTAAAAAAAGCTGAATGTTGTACTCCCCATATATATATAGATTTTGGAATCTGGTGGTTACTACTACTATATTTTGGGTGAGTAGAGCAAGTGGGTATGAGGTCAGCTGGAAAAGAAAACTACATGTATTTATTTGTATGTAGGACCCTAAGGTGCGTGGGTTGTGTAAGATTAAACGAAGAGAGTGGGGAGCATTGACAGGTACGAGGGTACAATAAAGTCATAAATTTCGTCTTCATATTTCTCCACTCATCTCTCATCTCTCATCTCTCACCTCTCACCTGTACGGTAAAGTTTCCCACTTATCTTACCCACACATTTATCTCATCTTTTCTACTCACTATTCTTTTTGTATATTACGTATAGCGAAGAAAGTGAATCATATAAATTGAAATCGATTAGATAATAGTATCTACAATGCCCTTATAAGTGTTATCATAACTAGCTGATTTTGAATTTACGTTTTTATACCTATGGTAAAGAAATAGATTTTTTGAGCTTTAACTTAATTCGAAAGGTTGTTCAAAAAGGGACTCTTCAACCTATCTCTCTAAGAGCTAGATATCTAGAGCGTGAACAATTTATTCTGGAGGCCCTGTATTGGAAATCATGAAATTTGGAATGTATCCTACCCTGATACTATGTAAGTAGAGGTAAGGATTATTCTAGTAATTTTAAAGAGACTACCTATCTCTTAACAAACCAATGTAGAATTCTATATATATATATATATATATATATATATTTAAGATTTGAACAAAACTATTAAATTATATTGAATACGTATCATATATTCTAGATACGTCTCTATATCTACTAAATAATATATGACTGATATCTTTTATATGATACTAAATCATAATTAATTAGTACCGTAAGTAGTAGTTCTTCAATTTACATCTTTACCATGTTAAATTATCAAGGTTTGGACACATCAGGTCCAGATTAGTTTTATTTCTTCTCTTTGTACGGACCTAGTATGAATTGTTTTTTTATATTTGAACATGTTTAAGTTCAGGTTTCAAAAATGAGCCACTATGTATTAAAAGGGTAAACTTCACAAATAGTCACATAACAATAACATATTATATCTTTTTAAAAGTCATTTATCTATCAAATCTAACACAAAAATCAGTAAAATTTGAGTATACCAACACAAAAATCACATCACTTGAAAATACTAACTTTCTAATGTATAACTCAATTTTTACTATTTTTAAAAATAGAATAAATAAATATTCAATTTTAAAGCTCCAACCCAAACTCACATGAAGAAAGTAAACAACCCTTCATATTATTCCCCTTTCTCTACCATTTTAATGTATTTGAGTATTTTTAAATTGTGCGATTTTCGTGTTTAAAATCATAGTTAGATAACTTTTGTGGAAAAAAAAAACAATCACTCTATTCTAATTTATGTAACACACACTTTTTTTTTCTTTCTTAAATCAATCCCAAACAAAAAGTAAAGAAGTGAAAATGATGGAGGGAATGGGATGATATTTATTATTATCGAATTACTATTAGAGGAAAGAAAACGGAAAATTACAGTGTGCTTGGCTATATATGGGAATTCGGTTGGTATTTTTGGCAATTAAAGGAATCTTCGTAAAAGACTCACCCTAACTCAAAGTCGAGCAAAAAGGAAACCCTGAGGGGTAGCTCAGCTGGTAAAGGCCTGGGACAAAGTCCTTCAGGTCGCCGGTTCGAGCCCCAGCAGGCCACTGGAGGCATTACAAACTGGCCGCGTCTCCAGGGCCCCGTGGAACTAACCGTGGTGGACCCGCCTTGAAACAGCGGGACCCGGTGGATACAGGTAGTCGGATTCGCAAAGCGACGCCCGGAAACCACGGTAAAAAAAAAAAAAAAGCAAAAAGGAAAAAAAAATCCTAAGAAAAGAAAGAAAACGAAAGGAAGTACTCCCACCCCAATTTGTATATGTAATTCATTTTCTTTTTAAGTCTGTTCCGAAAAAAATAACATTTTTTATATTTGTAACAATATAATTCTAAAATGCTTCTTTTATTAAAAAAAATAACATTTTTTATATTTGTAACAATATAATTCTAAAATGCTCCTTTTATTTTTACTAAAATGATTTATATTCACATAAATATCTATCACTTAAAATATTTTAGATCACAAGTTTCAACTATTGATCTTTCATAAATTCCGTATCACTTTAAACTATGTTTAAATTGAGATGGAGAGAGTTATATATTTGGGAAAAATTGAAAACTTAAATTTAATTGGCTGATTTTTTGATGTTGTTTCTCTCTCCATATATTATTGGTGTAACTATTCCTAGATAATGTGTAGTACAATTACTCCTGTAACCAAAATACCCTAATTACTTTTTCTCTTTCTATTGTAATAAACACAGCTTTTTTTGCTTCTAAAAATCTCTCTTCACTTTTCTTCAGCTCACAACTTCAGATCTCTTCTCCATTTCTTGCAAATTTCAGGTTTCTTTCCCTTAAATCTTTCTTTTATTTTCTATCTCTTTTCTAGGGTTAATTAATAATTAACACACTTTTTTTCTTCTTCTCTATAAATTGTTAAGTAGTTCACAAGTTTCTTAATTTTTTTTTTTAAAAAAAAAAACTCCTTATCCATTAGAAGAGTTACAAACATTCTGAAAAAATTAATAAGATAATATATATATAAAAAAAGATGCTTGTCCTGATTATAGTCAATTTTATCCAGTGTATTTTTATTTTTTATTTTTGTCGAAGATCTATAGTTTTATATGCTAAAGTAATAATGTTTGACTTTAATTTGAATCGGATCGGTGTGAACATGATATTAATTAGTCTTTATCCGTTGAACGATATAGGGTGAAGAAAGAAAATGGTGAGACAAAAAATCCAGATCAAGAAGATAGACAATTTGACAGCAAGACAAGTGACATTTTCAAAGAGAAGAAGAGGGCTTTTTAAGAAAGCTCAAGAGCTTTCAACTCTTTGTGATGCTGATATTGGACTCATTGTTTTCTCTGCTACTGGAAAACTTTTTGAGTATTCAAGCTCCAGGTTTTTTTATTTTATTTTTTTTACTCGAATTTAATTTCTTATTTAGTTGATCGAATCAATCCAATCAATCGTGGTTACCATACATTTTTTGGTCTAATTTCAAGGACTAGTAGTAATTATTCATAAAATTATAACAAAACAAATGAATAACTACTTACAAACCAATTTGTAGTACATATGATTATGGTCTAGTTTCTTTTTATTGGTTACTTGTTTGTTTCACTAATTAATGAAAAGTTTTTTATATTTAATTTGGGAGTTATAAAAAGCCCATGACTTGTGTGTCAGAAAAATCTCTTACTTTTCTTGTCTGCCAGATTTTTGGAGAGTTCCAAATGTTTTGGGGAAAAAAAAGCTAGTAAGATTGATAATGCCATATTTGGTGTGTTTGATATTACTATAAAAGAATTTCTCATAAAATGTATGTTTTAAAAGAATTTGTTTATAAACTATTTAAAAGAAAATAATGCTTGGATTTAATGTCATTTTTACCGTACGAGATCTTTAAGAGCTTTAATTTGTACTTGAATCTTATTTAAAATACGTCTGCATAAATTAACACATATAATCATAGGTTGAATTTTCATGACTTCTTAATTTAATAAGATATATGTCATAAGTACAGCAAAAGCAGCATAATATTGTTGTGATTAATGTATGACATAATCTTAAAATTTTCTCTTAGGTTATCAGTGTACGAACGGTGATAAGTTTTTAACTAGTGTCATTGTATGTAGAGGATTCAAATGTCGACAATATTATGTGTTTGGTACGAAGGACAATATTTTTTATGGAAAATGTATTCTTGAAAAATAAATTATTTTTTTTCACTTATTTCTAGTTTGCCGAGTAAGCAACAGAATGTTATCTCAAAAGCATTTATAAATAATTTAGCAAAACCCCTATAGGGGTGAGGAGTGGGGCCTCGAGGATGTCGGGGGTAGGATGGTGAAGGGATAGGGGTTGGGGCTTTGGGTGAGTGAGGAGGATATACAATAAACATATAATGTTATTTATAAAATTTATTTTCTCTACTTCCACGTAAGAAAATCATTTTCCTTATTTTTAAGGAACTTTATTATAGAAAATGTTTTCCAAAATTTTTGTTCATAACATACTAGAAAATATTTTCTTCCATACCAATCACTTAATTTCAATTTCAAAAGGATGTTTAGTTTGTACAGGCATCTTGTGTTGATCAAAACTGATTTCCTCTCTTGGATTTGCTTGTTTTACTACAATTTTCTTAGCGGGTAGTTTATGTTTAGTCCTTTTGGATCGCCTCATTTGGAATGATGGCACTTCGTAACGACTTAGCTTGTCTGTAAAAGTAGTGATCTTATGTTATGTCTGCCCTCGGACTTACCACAATCTTTACTAAGCAGTTCAAATTGATTGAATCTTTATCAATTTAATTGGAATAAAATTATTGATACATAGCATAGACCAAGTGAACTCATACTTAAAATCTTTACTGAGCTATATGCTTGTAACCATATAAGCAAAATAAACGTATTTCTTAGCTTAATATTCGAAAACAATAGTATTAGCTCAAAGATGTTAATTAATGACAATATATGTGACTCCTTTAGGTAATAAGAAGCTTAAAAAATGAAGCTCATTTTTAATTACCTCCTTCATATTTGACTTATTGAGCATTTTCTTCCGTTTCCCCAGTTTTAGTGACTCATAATTAATATGTTGAACACCAAAAAGATCCATGATGTGCAAACTAATATATAAATTCAAATAAATGTAATATAAGAAAGGAAGACATAAATCTTAACCTCCGCAACAAGATGAAGAATGATGTGATGAATTGGTACATTTTACATATACTGAGCAAAGAATAGACAAAAGTACATATATTCTATTTCAAGAATCCCTTGACGTGCGTCCACTAAAGCTGAAATTCGATTTTGGTGCTGCACAACTGAAAACTGGTTATGAAGCCTCATTTGCTGTCTGGGAATAAGTTTCACTGTATGTCCAGAGATATTTATACCTCCAAATAGTCTTCTCTTACCCATATTTTGCTACTGATCTTCTTGCGTTAAAATAGGAAAATGTAAAATGCCAAAGATAAAAATGGATATATATTCTAACCATTTGATAAATATTGGCTCATAACACACATTTTCACCTTAATTCCATGGTGGTGGGATGTTTGACATTGAACCCTACCTCTTCTCAATACTTCTTCGACCTAGCTCTCTTCATTTTCACTATATATAGCTAACATCTCACACCTCCTCACTGAGACATTTATGCATCTCCGATCCTTTTCATATGCATGTCTAAACCATCTCAGTCTTAACTCTTTCATCATAGAGTCACTCTCATCTTGTTTCAGATATCTTTGTTTCTAATCCTATCTCTCCTATTATATCCACACTCTATCTCAATCATTTTCATTTTTGTGACTTTCAATTTTTGAATGTGAAAGTTCTTGCCAATTAATTGTCCTTCCATACAACATAGCTAGTTTGACCACCACTTTAAGACTCTTTAGAAATTTATCATTGATCTGTTAAGCTAATGTGCAAAAGATGATTGGAGTATTGTACTAGATAACTAAATTGACTAAAAGAGTAAATGAAAAAAAACTTTTAAATATAGATATCTAGGGAGATGATTTGACATGCTTCAAAGGAGTAATTTTTTTCATTTTTTTTAAAAAAAATATTTTTTCAATAGTTGTCTATTTATATTCTCTCTATCCCATGTCATTATTCGGCTTACACAACAACTTATAAAAGTGAAATATTCTCCAACAGAAGGAAGGAGTGTGAGAGTAGAGTTGAAAATAATATCGAAAAATTCTGAAGAGGATAACCGTGTAATAATTTTTAAACTATTAAGCTCGTTTGATATGAGGGACGATAAAAATTTAGTACATCTTATTTCTTGTTTGGTTATTAATTTTCAAATAAGTTATGTCAAGATCAATAATTAGTACCCATATAAGTTAATTATAATAAGAAGGTGGAAAATAATAGTGCTGAAATTAATTAATATATATAATTAGGTCATCTAACACTAATTGCACTTTAGAAAATATATTACACAACCTGCTATAAACAGTTAATTAACTACACGAATGGAATACAAACTTTTCAGGATCAAGAAAACCAAACATGCCTATATTCATTTTTTATGTAATTATTTAAATTTTGGTTAGGGAAACTAGTAGCAGTCTCACCTGTACAAAGTTTGGAATGACGAACACAATTATATAAGTTCTTGCACATCATTGATCAATGGAGGCTGAGTGTTGTTTATGTTCAAGCTTGTTTCATTATTTATGTATCCTTGCGCAGTATGATGCAACTGATTGAGAAGCACAAGATGCAGTCAGAAAGGGATAGTATGGATAATCCAGAACAGCTGCATTCTTCTAACCTTCTGGTAAATAATATATTCTTCTCTCTAAGGTCATCATAAATTTAATGGCAATGATATTATATTATGAACAGTTAATATGTGATCATGAAGTGTATAAACTTCTTTTTTTATAAAAAAATTGAAGGTACGGAAAGGGGATTACAAGGTGGGGAATTGAACCCTCACTAGCAAGATCGAAGTTTAGATAGCCATCCAACTAAGCTTCTAAGATTCCCCTCAAGTGTTTAAATTATTTGGCCTAACTTTTCAAAATTTGTTTATTTTGAAAAGCGTTGGTTTGCAACAAATTTTAATTAAAGCAACAAAAAATAAATTACAATCACAATAAAATATGAAGAAACGTGAATTTTATTGATGAACATAGAGGGTACAATTCTGTTGATCCCTTGATTCTTCTCTCATAAGATATTTATCCATAATTCGAGGGCCGTTTGTGGCGTATTTCTCGACCTAGGATGATTTGGACTTGATCTACATAATTTGAGGGCTGTTGGTGGCGTATTTGTCAAACTAGGATGATTTGGACTTGATATTCAAATATTCGAGGGCTGTTAGTGGCGTATTTCTCGAACTAGGATGATTTGGACTTGATATTCAAATATTTGAGGGCTGTTAGTGGCGTAGATGATTTGGATTTGATCTCTTTATTATTATTCCATGAGTTTGTGGAATATTTGAGATATTCGAGATCTCTTTATGGAATTTTCGAGATGTCTTTTCAAGGGAATAGAGTACCTTTTATATAGGCATGAATTAGTGTTTAGGGTTGAGTAGCCTCCAAGAATCCTAGTTAGAATTGAACATACCTTGTAGAGTTGCAACTTAAATTGAACACGTCTTGTAGAGTTCCCCAAAATTACAATGTCTACGGCTCTACGCCTTTTTTTTTCTCCATAAGTTAGGAAAATTTATGTATGGCTAATATTAGAATAGTAGTCTGTGCTCGTCTAATAATGTTTCAAAAGTGCTTCCGGAAAAAAACTACTTTTTTTAGTTTATGAAACACAACTCCGACTACAACTAAAATTAGTTATTTTTCCTTAAAAGCTTAATCACACATCTCAACTTTTCGAGAAAAACATTATTTTTTACTTTTTTAAAAATTTGCTCAAACAGATTCTAATCATTTCAATTTCCATCTAACTTAGTAAACACAAGCAAATATTTCATTTTCCAGAGCGAGAAGAAAACCCATGCAATGCTAAGCAGGGACTTTGTGGAGAAGAATCGGGAGTTAAGGTAATTGTTGGTTTTATTTTGAGTATGATTCATAATTTAATGTGCCTATTATTGTAAAGTCTGTAATTAAAGATGTATCCAATTTTTTGCTGGACAAATTAGAGATGCATTTTTAATATTTGTTAAATACTCCCTTCATCCATCTTTATTTGTCTACTATACTATTTTGAGATGTCCAACAATACTTGTTCAGTTTATAAAACCAATAAATAGTTTACCAAGTTGTGTCTATTTTACCTTTGCTATTAAGTACTATATTCATTTTTCAATATATAGATGACTTATATTTAGTAAGGATGATGGTAAAATTACCTCTATCATTCACTGCTTCTTAATCTCTATGTGAAGTCAATAATGAGCAACTATTGTTGGACAGATTGACATTATACATATTGTTTATGTTCTACAATTAGAGATATCGTTCATTGTTAATTGTTGCATCTCATTATATATATCTTGGTGCTGCAAAAGTTTGCCTGATTGTAGTAATTAATACTATCAAATTGCAAATTATATGACATTATGCTAGGCAACTACATGGAGAAGAACTGCAAGGACTTGGCTTGGATGATTTAATGAAATTGGAGAAATTAGTCGAGGGAGGAATAAGTCGTGTCCTCAAAATTAAGGTCCATTTTACTTAATTCCCTTTCTCCTTAGAAGTATTATTTGATACTTGTGTAGTCTGTCTCTGATTCTTCAATGTGTATCAGTACTATATATTTTTTCATCTGTTTTGTATCTTGCTGTCATATTTTCTTGTAATCATGCTTCAAAAATATTTCTTTTGAGCTGAGAGTCTATATGGCAAACAATCTCTCTACCCCCACAAAGATAAAAGTAAGGTTTGCATACATTTTACTCTTTCCAAACTTCACTAATGAGTTTACACTGGTTATATTGTTGTTGTCTACTTAATTTCCCTCCTCTTTTGCATTTATTTGATTGATAATTCCTCGTTTCATATTAGTTGATCACCTTACTAAACCAAGAAAACATTAATTAATTTTTTTTATACTATCCTTGCAATTCATTCTTTTTTAAAGTGTTCATATTTGGGTATAAAATTCTCAAGAAGTTTTTTAAAGGATGAATTAGTAAAATTACCTTCTTATTTATAATTTCTTAAGCATTATGCAAAATGGAAAGTGATCAACTAATATGGGACGAAGGGAGTATATAATTGTTCCTACAACATACATTGATTCCATTAACTTGCGTCTTTCAGGGTGACAAGTTTATGAAAGAGATCAGTTCCCTCAAGAAAAAGGTAAGTCATACATTAACTGATTGAATGTTGATTTCTCTAGCTACTTTGTCAATAGAACTTTTTTTTTTCTTAATTAGGAAATACTATTTGATTCCATCAGAAATTTAATTTGACTGGAATTCGAGTATGGTTTTTGGAAAACAAGTATAGGGAAAAATATGTCGAGATTATGAGAAAATATGGAGAAATAAATTCTTGAAAACTTTTGGGACAATGCACAAGTATCCCTAAATTGTGATCGAAATCTTAGCAACACACCTAAATTTAACTAGGCTCAAATTACCTCTGGAACTCATTTTTTTTGGATTTTCGTGTTTGTACTAACGTGACACCTTCAACTAAGTAAGTTGGTTGTATTTGTACAAAACGTGTCTGCTACATGTGTAAATATTTCAACCTGATTGTGTTTGTACGACTTATGTCTTTCAAGAACGTGTGTTACAATTTTAATCTGTTTATTCTTACCCTTCACAAATAGTGTCATATTTTTTCTTGCCATTAACTGCTTCAACACGGGTAAGTGATGTTTGTGTCTAGATTCATAGAGAGAAAAACAAAGTAAAATATACCCTTCAATTTTTGTCTTAGGTTTTAAAGTGATTTAAAAATAATTTTCAAATAATTTTGATCAACGATGGATCTAAACAGTAGAAAAGGGTATATATAATAATATTTCATGCCACCTTAATATGCAGGAAGCTCAACTCCAGGAAGAGAATTCACAGTTGAAACAGCAATCACAAGTAAATTATTCTGCAATTAATTAATTGCATAATTTTTCTAATTAATTACTCCCTAAATCACATTAATTCATGAGCAGGCAAGATTGAATGAAGAAGGGCAAAATGTAATTGAACAAGGACATTCAGCAGACTCCATCACCAACAATCGCAGCTTAGTCAATAGTCATCAGGACTACAATGACTCTGATACAAGCCTCAAGTTATGGTACGTACCTAAAAAGTAGTCAAATCCTAAACCCCGAACCCTAAATCCTGAAACTGAGAACATACGTTATTTATACACATTTAATTTGCTATATCTTTGCAGCTTGGCTTTTCCTTAATGAGCTCGATCAACATGAAAATGGGTGATATATAGTTACTGAAACAAGGGCGAGTAATTTTCTATTTATATTATGCATCATAATTTAGTGAAATGTATAAAATTGATTAGATTGGTTGACCATCGAGTTTCTCGAGAACCGAGGGGTCAACGGTCTAATCAGAGGGTCATGTGATATTTAGCTTGGTGCTATGTATCAGATCTATTTAAAGAATCAACATAAATATATTACGTAGTAATTTTTTAGCAGTAATTTCTTTGATTATTCAAGAAGCACCAAAATTTATCGAATGTTGAATTAGAATTCATATCGAACCACTGGAAAATTGAAGTATTTCATTAAACCTTAATGCACAACTATAACCAGCTATTTTTGAAGTGTAGCTACATAGTTAATTAGTCAGATCGTCAACTAATGATAGTTTACTCCAATTTTTTTTTTTTTTTAATAACTCATAAATTATTCAATTATTGTTATTTCATTTAAAAAGTAAATTTTTTTATATTACTTTAAAATTAACCCACAAAGTCACTTAACCATTTTAGGCTATTGATCCATTTAGTTGGAATTTTTATTATGTCACAAACTCACAATGCCCATATGACACTATTTTGTATTAATTTATTTTTTTCAAAAAGAGCTAAATGGTTTTAAAAAAATACATCTAATATATCTTATTTTTTCAAGTTTTATATTTAAATTATCAGGTAGTTATTTGAGTTTTTTTTATATGAACTATCATTAATTATTTATCAAGACACGTCAACTATTATTCCCTTATTCTAGTTAAAAAAAAAAGAACAATTGATGGTTGAGACATATAGTAATTTATAACTTATAATTATAAATATTTTCTTGGTACAACCATCTAGCCTCTAGGCATACCATGATATGGTCATTACCAAATTAAATACTCAGTAAATAATTTTTTCTTTTTGAAATTGGTATGACATCATAAGAAAAAAAGAGTAGAAGTTGAAATTCAGTTAGAGGAAGACGCTGGCTATCCTTAAAAATTCTGCTATAGACCCATTCACACCACCCGAAAGCGTGACAGGCTCTCCCTCCTTTAACTCTCCCGCCCTCTTTGCTATATTTCCATTTATTTCATTCAAACCGCTCGTCAAAATATACACACTAATTATCAAATATGGATGAAGAATACGATGTTATTGTTCTCGGCACCGGCCTCAAAGAATGCATTCTCAGCGGCCTTCTCTCCGTCGACGGCCTCAAAGTACCTTTTTTTTTTCATTTCCTTTTGAATCACTAACGTATAATTAGCAATCAATATACTAATTCTTAGTTTGCGATGTTGAAACTTGTTCCCGTTTGTTTGGCCATAGATTTTGAAGTTTAAACTTGAAATTTGAAAATTTGAGTTACTGGGGTTGTGGTTTTTTGGAATTTGAAGGTATGTTTGGACTGTTACTTGGAAATTTGCGGGTGGAAGTCCCAAAAACTCAAACACTTTCTTTGAGCCAACAAATGTTTAAATTTTCAAAATTTGATCCAAAATCTATGGCCAAACTCTAGCTAGGTGTTAATGTTTGAGCAAAGTTTACTAGGTTCGACCAGACTCGTAGCTGGACTTCTAAGAAGAGCAGAACTATTCATGATTTAAAAAAAAAAAAGAAGAGAAAGTGAATCCTTTTTCTCAGAGGATCTATTTCCCCTTCCTGTTTTAACATTGGCAACTCTGGTAACTGGATTTGGTCGACAATTTGTGATGTCTACCAGAGTTTAGATCATCAATCGAACTATTTATAAGTAAATAGTCTACTTATGGTTGTCCCAACTTTACATGTATTATAGTTCAGATCCTCATACATCTTCATGTGGTTTCTAAAATTGATCACTATCTAACCTCTAAATGTCTTCAGGTACTACACATGGATAAAAACGACTATTATGGAGGAGAGTCAAGCTCACTTAATTTAATTCAGGTAACCTATTTAGTATTTACTACTGGTGTGGAACTTAAATATGCACAAACAACTTTGAAAAGCTCATCACTCTTCAGTCTCGATCCTGTGAGAGAGGACTGGAAAATGAGGCGTAAATGGAAGTGTGGCATAAGTTAGTGCTAGTTTACTTGGAGCTAATCTCAGCATATCATGTGTTTTTGTGTAGCTTTGGAAACGATTTAGGGGAAATGACCAGCCACCAGAAGAGTTAGGTACGAGCAAGGAATACAATGTTGACATGATTCCAAAGGTGAATAATTCTTACTAATTTTGATTATTTATCTTTCCATTACCTAAATTTTCCAGTTTACTACTCACTCAATTTCTTGACTTTTGATTCTTGTTTCTTCCCTTTTTCCGAGGCAGATTTAAGCCGGTATCGAATGAATTAAACTTATTCACATAACTGTAGGTTCTGCTCGATAATCACCATTTACACAAGCAGCTTAAGCTAATGTGCCTGCAAATAGTAAAAGTCTTATATCTGTTCATAGAAGAGCATGGGCTCTAAAATTACAGCCAGTTCAAAGAAATTTCGGCTTTAAGATGAGACAAAAGCAATTAATGAAACAACTGACAACCATCTCATTTAGACCAGGTGATAGGAATGAGTTAGGTTACTGCAGGGCTTCCACCAAAGAGAGACAACTTATGACATGCTTAGATATCTAAGGAGTATATCGACTCATTCCATCTGATCATACAATTATGAAGGTTGCCAATATTGGAGAAGTTATAATGTGTAAAAAATTATCTAAATAGGCATGTAGATTCAACAACATGCACGATAATTTAAAAGAATTAAAATCAGATGCACTGGTGCAATTAGAGAGCAGGCTCTTCTTTAGGTAACATTCATAAAATATCTTAACTTCCTGTTGATGTAAGATTACTTCATCAAAGGGCCAGAAAATATAAAAGGAAAGATATTGGGATTGAAAGAGTTCTGTTGTTATCATGACAATTTCCAAACTGTATTAGGTTGAGTTGATTATTGACCTTTATTATTAGATATGTATGAAATGCTTTACAAGTATGTAATTATTTCTTTTCCTGATGTCCTGTAGTTTGCAATGGCAAATGGAACTCTGGTCCGTGTGCTTATCCACACCGATGTTACCAAGTACTTGAACTTCAAGGCTGTAGATGGTAGTTTTGTGTACAATAAAGGGAAGGTATGTTTGTTAAAGGACTATGAGGTGTACCTTCTGTTCTATTTTTATTTTTTTTGGGTAGAAAATTCTCACTTAAATTTTTTGTGAAACTGATATCATTAGATCTACAAAGTTCCAGCAACAGATGTCGAAGCTCTGAAATCCCCGTTGATGGGGCTCTTTGAAAAGCGCCGAGCTCGGAAGTTTTTTCTTTATGTTCAAGATTTTGAAGAGACTGATCCGAAAACTCATGAAGGGATGGATTTGAACAAAATCACTGCAAAAGAATTCATTGCGTAATTTTTCTTTCCATGTGTGCTTTTATAGTCTTGCTTGAACATATTGGTGAAGGCTGCATCCATAATGAATTATAGTTAGACAGTTTCTTCCACTACTTGGTAAGTTGTTCTTGGTAACTGTTGTTTATGCAGGAAATATGAACTTGAAGATGATACCATTGACTTTATTGGACATGCCTTGGCACTCTGTACAGATGATAACTATTTGGCCCAACCAGCTATGGATTTCATAAAGAGAGTAAAGGTGAGTTTAACTTTATCAATTTAGTATTGCCAAAAGTATATAATTGTTTAATAAAGATATCATCACTAACGTAGTTTACTCACATTGACATGATAGTGTAAAATTTTGGTTTGTCATTGCTGATGAGCTAGGTGTAACTTATTCTAGTTACTAAAGCTGATTGAAAGCTTGTATAGGCATCCGTTATTCCATGACCATGAGGAAGAAAAGAAGAATTTTAGGAAGTTACAAATTTTCCATGTTATATATATAGGGAGTGTAGGGCCTCATACGAATTTTATTCATGTGATCAGAGAAAATCCGCATGCTTTAAGTATTTATATACCACTGTCTTTTATGTCCACCACCAACTCTCTTCGCTTATTAGACTCTGGGTTAGCTATTAATTGTATACCTCCTGTGTCTGTAGATGTAATGTCATATTACTAGATGAAGTAAATCTTTTACATTTTCAGATAGCTGGAAGGAATCAATATGGTCTTGCCTACTGATACTGTAAATCAGAAAATGCAGCTTTTTACTTTTATTATTTATTTATGATTAGATTTGATTTCAATGTCAAGACATCAGCCTTATTTATTCTCGTTTGTGTTTCTACTTTCTTGGCATGGATTGAAGACCTTTAAATCTAATTTAATAGTGTTAAGCAAAATAGAGTGTTGATATAATCCTATGATCTAAGATGTGTCCTACAGTATGATTAATTCATGAGTTGTCAACTGATACTTTCATGGTAGGTCTTCAATTAACGAATTATCACAATCAAGATTATAATTGAAATGCCAAATGCATGTGCTGTGTGATGTTAACTCCTATTCCTTTCATATGAATAGAACTATTTTTCGTAACTCATAAGAAACCAAATTCTTCGAATACATAAGCTAAGATATGCTTTCTTCTTTTTGAAACTTATTTGTTACTATCAGAATTCTCTGTTTAAAGGATTACTTAATGACTACTTTGTCTCTTGGTTTTTTAAGCTTTATGCAGAGTCTTTAGCACGCTTTCAAGCAGGATCCCCCTATATTTATCCATTGTACGGACTGGGTGAATTACCGCAGGTTTGTTTCCTTGGGTATTTTGTTTCAATCGTGTTTGGGTAATTTTTTTTTCCTGTTATTTGATTGGTTTACATGCTGTCAGGCGTTTGCACGTCTGAGTGCAGTTTATGGTGGAACTTACATGCTTAACAAGCCACAGTGTAAGGTAATCATCCGAACCATCTCTAGCTCATTTCGATGCTTAACGATCCCCATATAAGGTAAAGTTTTCCAAATGTTTTGGCATCCAGTATGTGTCTCACTAATCTTTCTAATCTGACATCTAGGCCTCTTCTTGACCAATGGAAAAAGAAATTCTAAATGTAATCTGGATCAGATATCCTCATGTTGTACATTTAAGCATGCCATATTAGTTTACAAAGAATACTGAGACGATAATGCACTGAGCTGGCTGCTCTACTTAAAATGCTGAAGAATTCCACATGGCTTACATACACATTGAATTAAATTGAAGTTTATGTGAACACTCAGTTTCCGTATTGCAGGTGGAGTTTGATGAAGGTGGAAAAGTTGTTGGTGTGACTTCTGAAGGAGAAACTGCCAAATGCAAGAAAGTTGTTTGTGATCCCTCATATTTACCTGATAAGGTACTATTGGCAAATTGCGAATAACTAATATGTCCAGGCTTTCTGCATCGTTGACTCATGTCTTTGAAATTTGTTTAATCATCTGCCTAGCTGAAAAAAGGATCAGATTAACAATTTCTACTGACAAATGATTTAATACCAATACATAATGCAGGTCCAGAAGGTTGGAAAAGTTGCCCGTGCAATTTGTATAATGAGCCATCCCATCCCTAACACCAATGATTCTCATTCAGCCCAGGTCATTCTACCACAGAAGCAACTTGGTCGCAAATCAGACATGTATGTTTAGGATTCCAGATAGTCTACTGAATTATCATATCCTAACCATAAAGGGATATCTCTGACGGTGCAAGCTTTCTGCTTCTAAAAATAAGATTATAAAACATACAAATTTGACCTTACTTTTATATGTCAATGACTAGTAATTGAAGTCCTCTTTTCTCCAAACAATTGTTGAGAAGTGACTGTCACTATTTATTTAGTCCTAGACTCCAGTACATGCTCACTAAACCTGCTGTGCTGTTTGGAGAAACTTGAAAGATTATTCAGAGTGACTTATTCAACATGGTGGTTACAGGTACCTGTTCTGTTGCTCCTACTCCCACAATGTCGCTCCAAAAGGGAAATATATTGCCTTTGTCTCAACAGAAGCTGAAACCGATGACCCCGAGAGCGAACTGAAGCCTGGCGTAGACATACTTGGGGCTGTCGATGAGATATTTTATGAAACTTATGACAGATTCGTACCTTCACATGATTCTGCTGCTGATAATTGTTTCATATCTAAAGTAAGTTCCAATTAACTGGTAGTGTCTACTCTATTTCTACAACTATTTCATCTCAAATATATCACAAAAGAGATATGACTGTGTTACTACTTGTTAATTAGAAGACATTTTATGCTTATGTTCCCAAAATTCTGTAGAAGAATCACTGAAAACAGATAGGGCACTTTGATTTTACTTCTTTGACATGCTGAACCTTGCCCCACATTATGTGAAATTACTGCTACTCAAGGGAACCGTTCTTCATAATCTAGTAATGCCACTAAGGCAGGAAAATAATATAACAGTAATGTCTTACAAGATTAGCATGCCTTCTCTTGCATACATAGGCTAACATATGCATAGTCCTTACGACATAAATCAAACTTCTAAAAGTTCAAAAACTCTATGGTAGACTTCTTTCCTGCCACTCCAATGTTTCTCTTATACATCGGTCAGCAGTTCTTGTCAAAATTTGTTATTTGATCTAATAATCCTGTTTTATCCTTCCTTGTAGAGCTATGATTCAACAACACACTTTGAGTCCACGGTGATGGATGTGCTAGACATGTACAGCAAGATAACGGGAAAGGTAAGATTCCAGTTGGAATTTAGTTATCTGGTGACTTGTCATTTGACAATGTGCAGCAGTTTCATAATATATACTATATCAACAACTCTGCCAAGCATACTACTGTTTGAATATAGAAGCTACCTAGCACAAAGTTACTGATGAAAAAAGGGGGTTTTAATTAAGCTTATTATCCTCTAATGATTGACAAATATATCTTTTCTTTCGACCTCGTGTGAATGATTCTGAGTGTAATGACAAATATATCTTTTTATTTAGGTGATTGACTTGTCAGTGGACCTGAGTGCTGCAAGTGCTACTGCTGAAGAATAAGCTTATTGTATCCACTTCATATGTATGCTGCAAAATAAGTCAGTAGAAGCCAATTTTGTATTGAAGAATATTTTCAGTTATTAACTCCCTAGCTAGTTGGTTCCTAAAATGGACCTTGTTGGAAGCAAGAACTTGCTTTATGTGTATTTTTCTTGTCCCTTATAGTTCTCTAATGATACTTTTGGAAAGGCTTAGGAATAGTTTATATAAATCCTTTCCATTATTAGTTCATATTGCTATGTACTGATTTCATATTTTATCTTGTAAGGATTTCATAATTTTTATTTTGTCAAAAGGATGATGATGGAACTAGCTAAAATTCAATTTCACATAATGTTGCCCTATGCATGCCTGCAAATAAGTACACACTAGCCCCTCCTTCTCTGTCACCTCCAACTTAAATATAAGTTGAGTTTTGGTAGGGGAGGCGAGCAGTCGGGCACGAATAAACACTTTTAACTTCGCCGAAATTTTTGCCAAATAGGCCAATAATGTTTGCCCTATTAAATATAAGTTGAGTTTTGTTAAATATTGATTATGTAAATATTTGAAGTTCATGAGTTTTCTTATAAGGAAAAAGAGGGATAAAATAAACCCTTGCGGAGGGCTCACCAAAGTTTGAACCAACAAACTACTTCTATCTTAGGGTGTGATTAGAAATTCCTTTTTAATATAAATATAAAATTTAAATAAAATCTATGCCCCATACTTTAAATCCGCCTCTAAACTATATTTTTAATGCCGTTAGGGTCGTTTCGTACAAAAATTAATAATGCATTGATTAGTAATGCAGGGATTAGTAATGAATAGTTTATTTTTACCCAAGTGTTTGGTTAATTATTTCCCGCCTCATCTTGTGTTTGAATTAAAACTTTATAACAAACTTCTTTCCAATTATATCCTTTAATTATTATCTAATTGGGTTAAGGTAAGTAATTGTCGGACAATATTTTTTTTTATGGCCTTCTAACTAGCTATGAGAAGAACATATTCACTTAAATTATTTGAGGATAAATAATTATCATCTTAGTAAATTGATCACTTACAAAATGTTAATTTTCAATTTAAAAAAAAGATAAACTATCAACTTTTTAAATTGAAAATACGGTAAAACAATAGTAAAATTGAATAAATACACATAAAAATGGCTAAGTTGTAATTTTAATTTATATGCAATTTTATAAATTGTTCAAAATACAAATAATTAGAAAACCACACAAATATATATATATATATATATATACACACACACACACATTTGATTAAGATCACAAACGTCGTGTGTGATATATTTTCTTTTTTAATTAGTTAATGTTAAACAACTCACATTTCAAATATTATATTAATTTGTATTGGAATTATTTAGTAACAAACAACTCTCTCTAAATAATTTGTAAGCTAATTTATTTAAATAAATTTACTAGTACAAATATAAAACATAAAATCAAGAAAATAAACAAAATAATTTAAATGATTTGAGGGATATTTTTGTCTTTGCATAAACTTATCCCATGGTATTATATCTCATGTATTACTAATACCTCCAGATGGAATACATCCTATAATACCATGTAGGAGGTATAACTAAGCCATGAATTAGTTATACATATGCCCAAATTTCTATCAAACATAGTACTAAATAATACAATACTTAATACATGGACTATTTGTTTTAATGCGGCCTACCAAACAACCCCTTAATATATGCAATGTTTGTACTATATCAGCAAACAACTGCCCGTCGATATGTGTGCTTCTAATCGAGGTTTTTTTTTTCTCTATTTTAATTTGTTTGTCTTATTTTTATTTTTCATTTATTATGTATTTAAAAATTATGTAGAAGCTGCCAAAAGCAGATAACTATTTGTCATATGCCTGCTTCTAACCGAGGGTATTTTGAAAATTTTGTACTTTCTCTGTTATAATTTGTTTGTCTAATTTTTTTAAATATTTTATATAATAGAAAATTATGTAAAAACTATTATAAAAGGTAACAATTAGCAACTTAGAATATTTTAAAAAATTTGATTGAGAGCGCCACATAAATTAAGGAAGAGGAAGTAACATATATTTTTTGAAAAGATATAAAGAGTCTATAATCACAATAATAAATAATTCAAAAGACATATAAGTTTTTTAATTAACTCTAGAAATTTTATCAGTGTTATATAAATTGAAACAAAAAGATAACATATATTATTTAAAAATTACCTAAAATACTATGAATCACAATTATTAACAATTAAAAAAAATATAAAAATCTTTAATTTATTTTCCAAATTCGTAAATTGGGTCTTAATTAGACAGTTAAGATGGTAAAAGAAAAAAATAAAGTTTAAACGATTTGATTAATAGAGAAAATATTACTTCAAAAAGTATTTAAAGTTTGGCAAAGCGCGTGGTTTAAATTGGGATACAAATAGTTGACATGTTTAAATAGTGCAAAATTTCTCAGACGATCCATCATCCATAATGACGAAGACGAGAAGCAAGAGCAGGCGAAACCCTAGCAAGAATCACGACCTCTCCGTTTTCGATTTTAGCCCTGAAGATGAGCGACTTGAGAAAAACTCTAAAAAGTTATTGCAAACATTCAAAATTCAAAAACCTAACAAATTCCATTCTCCCGTCGATAAGTATTGCTTTCTCCGTTGCTGTACGTTTCTGCAAAACCCTAATTTACTTTACAAACTCTTTTCTTGCTCTCTTCTTGATTTGGATCGTTTTTTTTTTTAACAATTATTCCAAGAAATTGAAATTCGGGGTATTCCAGTTTGAACTGTCTATCAATATGGATATCGCTTCCTTATCTTAGAATGGGATGAACTATTATATATATTTGATGCTTTTAGTTTATAATCGTTTTCGTCTACAGCAAGAAAGTAATAATTGCATATTCTGAGTTGTGTCTAATGGAGTTAAGAGAAGGGGGAAAAGTAGAAAAGTTGAAAGAACATAAGGAGATTGAAAAGAAGAGGAGTAACAGTGATGTAACAGAAGAGTGAAGGTAATGGACGAGGAAAGAACATGTAATCAGGTTCAGGATGCCATGCACTAATAAATGGGGGTGGGGGGTGATAGACACATTGACCAAAAGTATTGAGAACAAGAATAAGCTAATAGATATGTAGGGATCAAGAAACGTAAGTTTATGATTTAACTTATTCTTGCAGTTTCTTCTGATCAGTGACCAGTTTTTTTTTTTTTTTAATTAAATTTACAATAATAGAGCTTCTGGATTCATGTTAATTGAAAAAATCTCCGTTGCTGTATGTTTCTGCAAAACCCTAATTTAGTTCACAATTGCTTTTCTTGGTTTGGATTGTTTTCTAACTACTATTCCAAGAAACTGGAATTTGAGTGGCTTTGTTTGAACTGTCTATCACACGAATATTGATATAGCTACCTTATCTTCTTCTTTACTGAACACATAATTAGAATGGGAAGAACTTTAATATATTTGATGCTTTAGTTTATCATGGTCCTCTGCTACTGCAAGCAAGTAAAATTTGCATATTCTGAAGAATAGGGGGAAAGTATAAAAGTTGAAAGAAAATAAGGAGATTGAAAAGAGAAGGAATAACAGTGATGTAACAGAAGAATGAAGGTAATGGACGAGGACAGAACATGTAATCAGGTTCAGGATGCCATGCACTAATATATGGGGGTGATAGACACATTGAACAGAAGTTATTGGGAATAAGAATAAGCTAATATATATATATATATATATATAGGGATCAAGAAACATAAGTTTGTGATTTAGCTTATTCTTGCAGTTTCTTCTGATCAGTGACCAGATTGTGCTCAAAATTTACAACAGAAGAGTTTCTGCTTCGTTTAGGAAGCAATGTTGTTTATAGTCTACATGCTTTTGGTTTTTGATTTATTGAAGATGAATAACATATCTATAAAACCAGTGAAAATGTCTTTCGCAACTTTGGATCAAACTATAGGTGCTAATATGTTCTGTGACACCCATTTCTGTTTGCTGATTCCTTTTGATGTTTTCTTTTTTCATTGCTAATTTTTCCCCTGTTTTTTGTCCATCTATTAGTTTATCTTTTTTCTTCTTATGACTATAGAAGTACTGGTTATTCTATTTAACAATTTTTCTTAGTTGCAGGAGAAATAAATAGTACACAAAATGATCCGGTGATTGAAATCCTACACATTGATGATAGTGATGATGTTGCAGAAAAGAATATATTGGAGTCAGGTTCCACTGTGGCATCTAGGTCTTCAAATTTGAAGCCTTCGACAGATGATTGGCTTTGTCATCTTGAGTTGAAATGTGACACTTCTGGGGCCAAATCCCATATAACAAGAATGAAAACACCTGAATGTTCTATCACTGACGGCAAAAATTTTGGTCGGAGAGATTTTGCTGATGTACCCAACTTTCTCGATTTTTTCATGTTTCAAACTTACCATACTGCTAACAAATGCTTTATGACTATCCCCTTGATTAAAAAAAATACTTTATGACTTGCCATCCAAAATTTCTGCAGAATGAACCAGTTATTCTCGATTTAGATGATGCTACCGAAGTCGAATCATCCAAGGCATCTTGTTGTCTGCTAGAAAATAAGGGTTTGTTAAAATTATATCATTTCATATTTTCCAAGGTTGCTCATATAAATCCATTTATTTGCTTATGAAGATGTGCTGTTTTTTCATTTAAGGTTCTGGAAACCAACAAGAATTGATGCAGAGTCCTAATCTATGTGATACGGTGAGCATGCTGCTCTCTGTAGTCTTTTCTATAATTCAATAATTTTGAAATTTGGATGTTCCACAGAAGAAAAATGATATTAATGCTTGTTATCAGCTAGAGCAAGCCTCTCTGGGTGCTTTGTTTGTTCCATCATAACTTTGAACTTCTAATAGTAATCTTTCTAAAAGAAGTTCGGATTTTACTTCTAGTCAATGTGCCGTCCTCAGTTTCTCCGTTGGCAACTTGGTGTTGTTGAACTTTTGGAAGATCCATGTGACATAGTGTAGGCTTCAGTTTATTAGTTAATGCACTTCTAACATAAAGCATATTGAACCCAGACATCAGTCACACGGTAATAATTAAAAATCATTTGCCGTGGGATTCAAGCTGTATGTTGGTAAATACAACACAAACCCCAACTCCTTCTCCGTTCCATTACACTTCAAAACTCATAATGTGAATCAGCAAGGTAGAATGTGATGTCTGTTCCATTCTTAGGTTTGTGTTAAGTTGATTTCAGGATATGATATATTGCTGATGTTGCATCAATCTTCCTGCTTTTTTCCTTTACTGCCAAGCTTGAAGTGGTGAAGGGGCAGGAGGAGAGCTTGTGAAGAAGAGAAAAAGGAGAGATGGGCATGTATTTTCCCCTATTAGTGGTTAAACCATTTTAGAAAGTGAATCAAACACAAATAATGATGAAAGTTAAGAACCATATTTTGTTGCTGGGTCTCTTCTTTTGGTATTGTATACGGGGATTCTCCAGTTGTTAGTAAAAAAAAATTTACCTTATCAAAAAAAAAAAACGATGCAAGTTGTGATTGAAATTTCTTCAAAGCTTGCAGAAAACTATTGCATGTTTCACCTTCCATTTTGCTACTTTTTTGCAGAAAGTTCCGGTGGTTGTTAAACCTGATCACATCATGTATGAAGATACATATTCTACAAGTTCCATTTTGACCTTTTCATGCAGTTCCATAAAGCTTGAGGGCTCCTTCGGGATGAAGTTACCATTTACATCTGAGTGGACACTTTGTGATATTATCACTATTAACTCAGAGTGGTGCAAAAGTGTGAGTTATAGTGCGTCCTCTCTTTTTTTTCCCCACACCAACAGGGCAAGTGGAGCTTTGCTAACTTCTTTGTTGCTAATGATAGGTTGAAACTGCCCTTGTGGAATTGTACCTCAAATCCAAGGATTCAGATGTAGCTAACACTGATAATGAAAGTTCAGGTTTGAGAGGAGTTCAATAGAATACTTTCCCATATAATTGTTGATATTGTAAATTAGATGGTTTCCTTTTTTTATTACATTTCTCAACATTTGAAGATTAATTTCATGGTTTCAAGCTGCAATTGCAAGAAGCTGAGTCATGCTATCCTCTGTATTGTTCTAAAGAACCTGTCATGCTCTAAAATAAAATCTTGCTTTGTGCTTGAGCTAGATTAATTGTTACAATTAGGTTGGAGAAGAGAATGCTATATTTTTGCCAAAACTCAAAATTTATTACTGTTACTCATAAATGTACTGGAGATTACGTTGAATGTAACTGTTTGATGGATCAAATATATGGCTTTTGAAGGGATTCGAGACTTGATTTGGAAATTGAAATGTTAGATTTTTCTGTGTAATTTACTCTTAGGGGAGAATATAGGTAGTTTTCTAAGCTGTGATCCCAGTGTTGATTAATCTTTGTTTACATGAAACTATCTCTAAATTTACAGGTGCTATTGTGTTGACATTTGCTTTGTTCGACCCTGATTGGTCCGAAATACAAGAAGCAATTAAGATGCTGAATGTGCGATACAAAGATAAATGGAATAACATTACAGCGTAAGATACCTCATTGAACAATGCATTGATGGCTCATCTCTTAACTCTTATTTTATAGATAATATACTTTGGTGATCTTGAGTTCCTTTTTGACAGTAATGATGAAGTTTACTTTTAATTCCTTCTTTATCTGTGTTTTATTGGCAAATGTCTCAACACCCTGCCCTCCCCCATGCACAGCTGAGATACTCTTTTATTGTTTTTCAGATTTGTCTGGCTAAGCTTCAATGTTAGACTTGTGTTCCTGTGTACAATGCTTAAGCTCTTTCTTTTGATGAAGAAAGTGGGTTTTCTTCTTTGATGGACTGTGGGAGCAGAACGTTTTTTTTTCCCACTAGAATTTGTGGATTTGGAAATTGTTTGATTGAAAAAGTTCTCTAAATTTATTCTCCTGGCCTTGTATGACATGCTTCATTGTTGTGGGATTGACTGTCTGAGGGACAAGAGATGTATGAATTGAGTGAAACTACTAAAGATGATTGTAGTATCAGGAATGGATGATTAAGGTTCAATTTGTTATTGATTTGCCCTTGAGTAGCTTTTAAAATCTTGCTGTTAATTCCCTTTCCCCTGTTTGATAGAATTCTTAATATGTTTATATCATGATAATGCTTCCTTTGTCAGACTTGATCCCACAAGGAGCTATAGTCCATTTTTTGGACGGAAAAGCATTTCAGTTGAAGAGCATGATCATCCCAAGTAAGAGATACTTATCCTTGTTGCTTTTCAATGTGAATCTGATGGTGGCAAGTTGATTAAGGTCTAAGAGAGAATGACCAGCTCTTCAATTTGCAATTGGCGATTTAAACAGTTACTGGTGACTGACCATATGGCCACTCCTCCTGTCTTTGTCTTTGACTTATGAATTATTGTACAAGGTCTTTTAGTGGCGATTTTTCTCTTTTGTTGCCAAAAGATTTGATGCAGTTATGAGGTGGAGAGCCAGGATGAAAGACTACTAGTTTGCTAGTTTTACATATCTTGGGTTCATGTAGTATTTATAAAGTTCTAGGGTAAGATATATATTCCTCAGACTTTTCTTTCTTCTATGTATTTCTAGCACTATTTACTGTAAAAGCTCAATCTTTACAGTAATCTAATGAATTTAAAATCACACCAAAAACGAAAAGAGAAAGATAGTTGAATATTGAACTTTGAATTGGGTTAATGGACAGTGATTAAGAGCTAAGTTTGAAAGTTTTGCCATAAGTTATGCGTCTTCCACTTCTGAATCTTCCTATTACACATGCTTCCAACTTCCGTGTATCTTTAGTAATTTCACATTGTTTGATGTTTCAATCTTATTTCATTATCTACAGTTCCAGGGATAACTTTGAAGAAATTATTTTTCCAGAAGGGGATCCAGATGCTGTTTCCATAAGTAAGAGAGATGTTGATCTATTAAAGCCTAAGACTTTCGTCAATGATACCATCATTGACTTTTACATTATGTGAGTTTATATGTACGTATTTCAGTTGGTACTTCCCAAATCTTGCTAACTTGGATTGGAATTAAATTTAGCTAATGTTTTTTGTTCTTATAATCTTTCTTTCTGGAATTATTCATCTATTTGAACTTAGTTGTTCTCGTAAGTATTAACTATTGACATGTTGTTCGTTATCAACATCTGGTAGTATGATCTACTTTTGTTAGACCGCAAATAAAAAGAATCATTTAGTGGCTTGGCATCTGTGTTACTCTTAGGTCAAATGTTACTACTTTGTGTTTCAGCTTTTTTATCAGGACAGGTCAAAATTTACTGCATGATTGACGCGTGATCATTTCACTGCATAGTAGGTTCATCTTTTACCAGACTTGGTTATTTCCATTGCTCTATCCCTTCCTCTCTCCTGGTTATAGATGTTTGTTTATGGGCAACATGAATCAACCACCTCCATTTGCAAAATATAGGCCCCATTGCAAATAACTATCAGATCTTCTGTAGTCCCAGTTCATGCTATTCACAGTATTACAGGAGTTTCTTTCAAGGCTCACACCCAAAGATAAATTTTAATGGTCTGCTTGTTTCAACACCTAACCATGTTGTAGAGTACCCAGTGCTTGAGAGCAAACTAATACTGGTGATACTAGGGTTGTCATAAATGGAGGATTCTCTGTTACTTTTATTACCTTATTATCTGGCTCTAATCATCATCCAAGGGTATAACATTTCAAAGTTCCTTT